CCCCTCCGTGTCGCGATGCGCTCCCCGCTCCCGTTCCCCTGTGTCCCTGATCGTCCTTACAAGATCCTGCTCGCGCAGGTGGGGACCCTGTCCTTTCTGCCACCCCTTGTTTGGTGTGTCCGTTTTATTTATTTATTTATTTAGACGACCAAGGGTTAGGGTGGTCGACGGCTAGCACCACACTCCTCTCCTTAAAATCCCTGTGTGGTGGCGGTGTGCCGTCCTCCCATCCCTCCCTTGGGTTGTCTGTTTTCTTTCTTTTTACACGGACCCACACGATAGGGTCCCAGGGATTGTTTCCTCTCTCGTATAGGACGGGGTTGCACCCCAGGGGCGGGCCTCCTACTGGTTGCGCTCTCCTAGTTCTCCTTCTCCTGCTCCTGACAAAAGGGACAGCGACAGGTTCGCAGCACGGTGGACTCCCTATTCCAGAATTCCACTGGCGATCTCTCTCGACTAGCGACCTTCCTCCGGCTTCTCACTGGCAGTCTCTCGCTATCCACGGGCACACTGACTGACAGGGGCGGCCGAGTGTGTGTGTGTGTGTGGGGGGGGGGGGTGCGCGCGCGCGTGTACGACACCCGCCCTGAACGAAACCAGACAATATTTTCAAGCAAATTAATTAATTCTTTTGAGCTAGCCTTCGAGAGAGAGATTTTGAGAGAGAGATTTTAGAAAACCAACAAGAAATCACGACTCTCACAGTGATTTGGGCTCGGCATTTCTCGATGTTATGAATAAAACAAACGCAAGCGGATAACATGGCATATCGCTCTCGGGCCCACAGACATCCCGCGAGATACCTCGCACTCCATGTGCGAGAACGCAGAGAGAAATGAAAGCCGTGCGGCCCCCAAGTCCTCGGCTCACCCGCAATTCTTTTGAGAGCGCCTTCGTTGTTAATAGTACAAACCCAATGGTCCCTGAAAGAAAGAAAGAAAGAAAGCAGACAGCCCAAGGGAGGGATGGGAGAACGGCACGCCGCCACCACACAGGGATTTTAAGGAGAGGGGTGTGGTGCGCTAGCCGTCGCCCACCCTTGGGCGTCCGCGCGTCCGCCTCTTCCTATCTCTCTTCGCAGTCTCTCTCCGATTCTCGCTGCAACCTTCATGCCAACTCGCGGTCTCCCCCTTCTCGTCGTGCTCTCCCTTGTCGCCTCTTCTTTTGTCGCGCCAATGGTCCCTGAAAGAAAGAAAGAAAGAAAACAGACAACCCAAGGGAGGGATGGGAGAACGGCAATGGTCCCTGAAAGAAAGAAAGAAAGAAAACAGACAACCCAAGGGAGGGATGGGAGAACGGCACGCCGCCACCACACAGGGATTTTAAGGGGAGGAGTGTGGTGCGCTAGCCGTCGCCCACCCTGGGGAGTCTGCCTCTTCGTATCTCTTTCAATGGTCCCTTGCAGCGGTGCTTAGAGGTCTCAATTCTTTTTCTACGAAAAGCGCCACTTCTCAGCTGCCGACTTTGCCGGCGATGAAGATCCAGGTCAAGCTGACCGCCACGGCGGCCATCGAGCGCCTCAAGGCGGACGATCCCGAGCTGGTCTCGTGCGATCTTTCAAACAACGCTGTCCTGCAGATGAAGGCGTCGGATATGATTCCACGGCTGGCCGATGCGCTGGCGGGCAACTCACATTGCCGCGAGCTCAACCTGACCGCGTGCAACCTCGACGACGCGTGCTGCGAGAAGCTCGCCGCGGCGCTCGCTGGCAACCACCACCTCGCTTCGCTCGTCCTCGAGGGCAACCGGTGCGGCAACGAGGGCGCCACGCACATAGCAAGCGCGCTCCGCACAAACCGAGGGCTGATGATGCTGAACCTGCTCAACCAAAAGGGGAGCCGATTCGGCGACTCGACCCTCGCCGCCTTCACTGGCGCCTTCGACTCCAACATCACCCTTCTCAAGATCATCTGGCGGCTCGAGTCGCGGCAGTCGTTCCGGCTCAACAAGCTGTGCCCACCGCCCCTTGCCTCTGCTGCCCTCCCCCGCCGCCCTTCCGCCACCGTGGCCCTCGCCGCTCCCACTCTCCTCGCAGCTGCCGCCTCGCCTCTCTCTCTCTCCCTCTCTCTCTCTCTCTCTCTCT